ACAGAGCCCCCCCCAAACCAAAATCCTGGATACGCCAATGGGTATAGGTACTACATAGGTACCTACGTATTGTTTACATTTCTTAAATAATGAATAAGAACCTGTAATTATAAGAATTTTCCAGGAAACGTTCCAGAATAATGCCGATAAACTTGTGATTTCTAGTACCTACCTACTTTATTACAAGACGTATTAGACCAAGATCAACAAAAAGAAAAAATACAGGAGATATACCTCACGAAGAAGACGTCAAACCGTTGAATGGAATGACAGAAGTATGTCAAACAACACAATATAACAGACATCCTTATAGGGCTATCTTTAAACTAAAGCCAACAAAATCTAAACCCCTTGAGAATATTAAATATGGATACATATATAATAGGTTCTCATTGTCAGGTCAAAAGTAGTAGATAATTTCCCTATATTCGCTGCAGCTTATTCTGTGAACAAAACAAGGATAGAAATTAGTCAAAGTTTAATGAAATACTTTGCACTTCATGGAACAGCAATTTCACCACACACCACACACCTTATAATCCGAATTTGAATTTCGAATTCACCTATCGATCGAAAGATTTCATTCAACACTTAAGGAAAGTAATATAGCCCAATCGAACTAAGACGATCCAAGAATTAATTGATTAGCAATTTTGAACTATAATAATAGTATACACTCTTCACACGAGTATAACGACTGCAATTCTTGAATTAACTGGGCAGTGCGTTGAAAAAATAATTTCAAAAGTATTTCATCAAATTGTGATCAGTCAACAGCACGGTTTAACAGCTGGTAGATCTGTTGAAACGAACCTGTTTCTCTTTACAAATTTTATAAATTGCAATATAATATATAGGTACTGACTTACTACTTAAGTAGGTAAAGCCTTTGATGATAGGTAACATATCCTCTTCTCTCTTCTTCCAAAGCTTTCAAGTCTGGACCTTTACTTTTCACTTGGGCCCTTTTCTATTCAGCTTATTTATCAATGATTTAGTTTCGTTGCTTTCCTAAAATTTTTTACTCTTCGCTGATAACTTGAATTTATATCGTAAGGTGACGTCAGCTCAAGACATACCTACTCATTCTGCGAAACGATCTTAACATTGTTTATAATTGGTGTCAGCCTAATGGCATGTCCCTTCCTCGACATCGATAAGTGTTGTAGATTCAGTAGACTCACCCGTAAGGTTCCCGTTCAATATTGCTTAAATAATGTTCGCTTGTCTGAAGTTTCTCCATTAGATCTTGGCGTCTATCTAGATTCTAGATACCTACTAGGTTAATAGAATATTGGGTTTTATTTTTATTAAGAGAGCTAATATATAGGGACTTTAGAAGTACTCCCATCAAAAGTCTTTACACATCACTAGTCTGGTCCGTTCCTGAATTTTCATGCATATACTTTGCTAATCTTACTAGCAAATCCACATCAATAGCCTTGAGAGTGATCGACACAGATTTATCAAGTTGGCACGGTACACACTTTCTCGGAGTTGTGTGATTCACAGTGATGATCAGACTATGGCTCACTTAGACTTAACCACTCTTGTTTGCAGAAGGGAGCACTTTGATATCTGTTTTTCTTTAAATATCCTTAAACTACATAAAAAGCGACGAATGTCTTGACTGGTCTTATGTACACACTCCACTTAAAGTTATCGGCTTATCGGATACGAAGTAAATCTTTACTGGACATTCCTTACTCTCTTTCTTGGTACATCGTAGCACATTCAAATACCAAGAGTTACGAGCTATAATCTCGAAACTAGACTCCAACAAGTACCTAGCCCCGTAACTTGACATCAGGGGGCCTCGGTGCAAAATTAGATTACAGTAACTAATTAGATTTTCTTTGGTTCAATGTCCCAATCGACCCAGTGTTGAAATATTAAATCAAATATTATTTGATATAGTAAAAATTAAAGATAATAATTACGATTCTCAAAAACCTGAAATAATCAATTTAAGAATAAAACTTCCATCAATAAATATTGATGAAAAATTGATCCATAAAATATTGAACGTTGAGATTTAAAGGAAATCAATCTAGAGACTACTTATCAGAGGATTTAGAAAATGCTTAAAAATTAGCAATACTTGGTTGAGGGTTACTGCCAAATGTCTAGAATTATGCACATGAATTGTGCATCTTGTAGGCGGCTGTGCTGGTTCGGAAATGCTCACATGTATAAATACTGGACTGCAGCGATAAGAAGTTCAGTTCTTGAGTAAGCTTTGTAGTAGCAACATTACAGGGTGTCCCAGGGAAAACAGTCCACCCCGATTTATTGGGTTTGGGATGAGAATCTGGGAAAACACTCGGACACGTTGATGTTTGATTTGAGGGGGAACTATTTTTCAGTTTTTTTCATCCCCCTAGCTTCAACCCCCTAGCTAGGGGGAGGACAACCCCCCAAATTTGAATAGGGAATAGGGGTCGTGTCATACTTTTTAAAGATCTCATCGAGTTCTTTATGGCCCTAGAATTTCATCTTATTATTTCCATCCGTAACGAAATGACAGCTTGTCAAAATCTTGGAAATGAACTATGTTTTAGTAGAAGTAAAAGTGGTACTTACCTCCCTTAATAAAAATACGAGTAAAAATACATACAATTTACAATTCTCGTGTACGTCTCATTAATTTATAATAGGAAAAAACTTCATTTCAAGTATTTTTATCAGGGGAAGTAAGTAAAATCGCTTTTGCTCCCACTAAAACTAATAGTCTATTTCCCAGATTTTGACAAGCTGTCATTTCGTTACGGATGGAAATAATGAGACGAAATTCTAGGGGCATAAAGAACTCGTCGAGACTTTTAAAAAGAGATATGACATGACCCCTATCCCCTATTCAAATTTGGGGGGTTGTTATCCCCCTAGCTAGGGGGTTGAAGGTAGGAGGATGAATAAAACTAAAAAATAATTCCCCCTCAAATCAAAAATCGACGCGACGTGTCCGAGCGTTTTTCCAGATTCTTATCCCAAATCCAATAAATCGGGGTGGACTGTTTTCCCTGGGACACCCTGTATATGTAATTTCCTGTTTTAAAAATAAAATATTACTTTTTAAAAACAAAATAAAATTGTACCTAAATCTATTCTTTTGGAAGCTACACAAAAACAGTTTCCAATTATTAATATAAATAAGTCTTAAATATTTTTTTGTAGCGTCACTGTTGATACATTCTTCAGTTGATTCACGCCGGTAAGTGGATTTTTGTTTTTAACTTTTGGATTAAGTAGGAATCTTGAACAATAAAATTAAGTTTGTCATTGTGGGTATTTTTTACATTAATTCAACAATGTTATTATCTCATATTCATATTAAACTTCAACATAACATCTTTCAGATTGACCTGGCAGCCCTGGCGCAAAAAATGGCAGACAATTGTGGGGTCATTTATAGGAGTCGCAGTCCGACATACCCCTAATTAATTGTGAAATAGTTTCAAAGTTTTCAATTTTCGCATATTTTCAAATTTGGTTGGAGTATTCATAAGGAGTGGGGCAGTGGAGGGAGGTTCTACCCCCATCATTTATTGCAGGGCAGGGGTGTGGGTTGTAAGTATAAAATATTTCAAGCAGATACCCTATAATTATATTATGCTAATTATTTTCAGACTATTCTTAATGCACCACCTCCAACCTCGATCCTAATATAGGTACTAGTGCTACAACTTGGAGTGACCTGGACAGTGAGGACCTCCACCCCTTAAAATAAAAAAGTTAAAACCAATTTCTTATACTGTGTTTTATTTTATCCACTCATTGCACTCATAATTTTTTTCTTGATATCATTCATGAGAAGAAAAGTTTCCGCTCAACTTTTATTATGATGAAAATCTAGAACTCAAAATAAAGCGAATACCTATCAAATCAAATCAAATCAAAAAATGCTTTATTGTACAAAAAGGCCTTAAGATCCTTATTTACAAAGCTAAAATGGAAATAATACAAAAATAATACAAAAACATTATAAGGAGACACTGAAAGGTAATGTTACATGTTAAAATACTAAGAACTAATGAAGACAATCGAGATAAAAACATCAAAAACCACCAAAAACTGCTACTTAAAATGTCATTCACAAATCCAGTCAAGTCCTTATATATGGCACATACAAATAAAAAATAAAAAAGCGAACAAACAAAAATAAAGACTGAAACACTTTTTAAGTTGCAGTATAGACGTCATAATTCATACAATCATTAAAGCCAGAGCCTATCGCCATAAAATTCTTCCAGAGAATAATATGCTTTTGAAAGCAGAAGCTGTTTCACCTTTCTAGCAAAAAGGACACTATTGTCTAGATATTTGATCTCAAGAGGCAGGTGGTTATACATCTTTTTCCCCTCATATATTATTGAGTTTTTTGTTAATGTACTCCTTGGGATGCACAGACTTAGATTGTTGCTGTTGAACCTAGTTGTCCTGGTGTCATTATTATTATCTGATCCTCTATATTTTTTGTGAACCATGCCCACCGTCAGTAAAATAAAAATACAGGTCAATGACAGATACAGAAACTCAATAAAAGCAACCAAACAACGGTAATAGCATCACAAAGATAGCATGGACAAGTTTACCTATAATAATATATGGTTGTTTGCCTTGGGTCCATATTTATATCCAAAGATGGATGATAGGCTAAAGAACAAGAACATGCCAGCCCAAACATGTATAGTTACAGTTACTGGGTTTTGTATCATCCAACAATAAGTATTGTTATTTCAGTAACAACTTTATAATTTCTAAATGTTGGTCAAAATAAAAAGTATCCATTCCAACTCCAAGCATATCTCAAACTGATCAATGTGCGAATAATTGTTTCAGAAGGGTCATTAAATTGAATTTTTACCAACTATTTTCTGGGGCTTCAATAATGTGAGCCATGAAGAGGATTTTTCTCTGGGTTTATCTGTCATCATTCATTAAGTTTGTTTTACAGTAAAAGAAAAGGTATCAGTAGGGGGTATATTTGAAAACAACTTAAATTTTTGAAAATGTATAAGTATATTTTATGGAAAAAAAGTATAATCATCAATATCTTGTCTCAAACATAATATATTAATCTAATAAAAATCTTCCTCAAATTTCTTCCCATCAGTTTGCTGGTTTTTAACTTGCTCTTGATTATTATACAAGTAACTGACTTGTTGGGCGGACGTAGCATCTTCCACGTTTTTATCGTCTCTAATTCTGATAAATCTGGGAAAACGAAGCGAAATGCCTTTTACTGGATCCACGATTCCCGAGGCAGCTCTATGCACAGGAGACAATGATAAGTCAGCGCATTTGATTTCCCAAACTTGTACCGGTTCAAACCAGTGATCCGGTTCCAAAGAAGAATCGTATTGGTAGTAGCTTTTTGGTTGAGACACTACATGTTCTTTGAGGAATTCTGTATGTTGTTGCAAGTCTTCATCGCTGAACCCTGTTCCAATCTGGAAAAAAAAAACCAATAGAAATTTGACACTATTAACAATAATTCGTATTTATTACCTTACAAATACTCTGATATTCTTCACAATCTTTGTCATAACAAGCCAATAAGAATCCTCCATAAGTCCCTGTACGTTTACCTTTCCCAATATACCCACCAATAACAACTAAATCCAAAGTATCTCCAACTCCTTCCAAATAATCCTTTTTCAATTTCAACCAATTTCTTGACCTTTTGGCTATTTCATATGTGGCATCTCGTTCTAACGTTTTTACCATAAGCCCCTCGCAATTACCTTTAACACTTTCTTCAAGGAACTCTTGTACTTCTTCCATTTTGGTAGTGTCCAAGTATGTGGCAAAACACCATTCGCCTTCATGTTCCTTGAAGTGTTGGCGCAGTAATTCTCTTCTTTCTTTAAAAGGTTTGGTTACCAGTGGTTCTCCGTTCAGGTACAGCAAATCAAACATAAAAACGCAAACTTGGACTTTGATGTCAGCCTCATTGGCATCCTTTCTCTTTCTAGTACTCAGAATTTGGAACGGCAAAATTTGCCGTTTCTCTCTATCCCAGGCGACAGCTTCACAATCCAATATACAAGATTCTACCAGATCGGTTTTGCATTTTTCCAACCTGGAAATTATATCTGGATATTTTGAGGTGTTATTTTCTTGATTACGGCTGAATATGGATACGTCGTTTTGGTTGATGTGAATTTGGGCTCTTTCGCCGTCGTATTTCCATTCGCAAGTGAATGTCATACCTTCGAATCTTTGTATGACTTCTTGAACGCCTATAAATGGAAAATAGTGTCTATCATTGATTTGATTGGTTAAAACTATTTGCAGCCAAGTGGAAATAATCTTTCATTGAATAATCATATATCAAGATTTCCCCACAGCATGTTAAAATAGGTACATATATAACATATAAAATAGTTTGTCAAAATTACAAAATTGTACTAATTGATTGTCGGAATGACCAACCAGGAACCAGACATTAGGATCAAAGCAATTTATAAGTGTTTGGAGTGAACCAAAAAAAAATAAAAAATCATGCGTGAACACATTTCAACTCATTATTTTTTCACGTGAAAAAACACTAATAATAACCATAATAATGTATCTTACCTTTAGTAGGATGGGCCAACATAGGTTTCAAAGGAATACCAGGTGTCAATTTACATTTTTCCGGTAACTTCTCTATTCCTTCCTCCAACAAAACCGGAACTATTTTATCATAATTTGGACATTCACAGTAGGCAGTTTTCAAAATCAAAGCCATTTCATCTGCACGAGCTTTAAAGCTTTCAGCTGAATGGCCTTTAGAGGCGTTTAGTTCTTTTGGAGGATATTCTTGATTCGGCGGAGTCATAGTACAAGCTAAAGCTAGAGCTTGAAGGGCTGATTGCTCGGCTAAGCCTATTCTGAGTTTTCCTTGGAGCGAACGAATTAAAAATCTCGCTTCTGGACCTTGACAAGCTACAAACATTGATTGGATCTTCTCGACTTTTTTCGTTTGCGAAGCGTGCCCAGTCATTTGTGCAATTTCTTTGAGTTTAGTGAAAACGCCTTTCACACTCAATCTGGCTGGCTTGAAAATCATTCTTTGATTCGATTTTGATTGTTCAGCCACTATGCCTAAATCTCCACTTTCTTGGGCGTCACTTTTAATTTGGCTCACTGTCCTGCCTGTGGATTGGGCTACAGCTTTCATTAAACTCGTTTCGGCTACGCCTAATTCAATGCCTTCATATGCTGGGGCTATTTTGTTTAGGCATAAATAGACACTGGGTAGAAGATCTTCTGGGGTTAGCACTATGACTGATCTAAAATAATTGCTAAGGATTTCAATCATTTTTAGACGGGCTGATACTTCTTCGATGGCTTCTAGTGTACTTGCCAAAGCACTATAGGGGACTCTATATTGGGTAAAATTTCCCATTAAAAATGTATGATTTTATTATTTATAAATAGTTACCTCTCATTTCTTTTCCAAGTTGCATCATCTATTGGGTGATATTTGGCCAATTTAGGATTATAATCGGCTTGTGTAACTTTGCTTTTATCTTCTGAAGGTTTTCCAAAGAATATTTTAGTGACTTTTTTGTCTTCATTTTCAGTCTCTCCGTTTTCCTCATCTTTAGTTGTTGGCTCGGATTCTTCTGCTTTAGCCTTATTACTCTCAACTTCATTAGATTGTTCGTTTTTAGATGTTTTTTTTGGAGTCTTCTTGGACTCTTGTTTCACTTTAGGTGATTTTTCTGTCTTTTTGGAATAGACTCTTTTGTTTTCGTTTTTAGTCTTTCCATTTTTCTCTTTTTTAATTTCTTTAGGTGATGATTCGGTTTCTCCTGCTTCATCCTCACTCTCAACTTCATTACTGGATTGCTTGTTTTTAGGTGATTTTTGTGGAGTCTTCTTAGACTCTCGTTTCACTTTAGGTGATTTTTGTGTCTGCTTGCCTTTAGGTGATTTTTTGTCGGACTTTACAGGTTTCTCTTCACTCTCGTTTGACTTGAGTTTTTTGGCTGCAAAGTCAAATTTAAATCATATTTCCAAAATCATATAAATTAGAATAAACATACCTTGAACCGTTGGACTTTTACTATCTTCCTTCATCTTTCTAGAATAAAGAAACATTGAAAGTTTTATTTATTATTATATACCTAATTGCTTAATTTTTATTCTTAGTCCTCAAAATCAGGGGCGCATATACGGGTGGGGGGGGGGATTGGGGGTAATTACACCCACCCCCCCCAGAAAACTAGAAAATTTTCAACCTACTCAAATTTTTAGTTTTTATTCTGAAAATATAGAAAATAATTGCGAAAACAATTAAAATACTGCTAACGGCAGCAAGTTTTTGTGCGATATGGCAGCAGCGCTTTTACTTTCGTCTTCTTCATCGACGTCAAATGAAATGTCTGTCACTCGGCGCGGCGACACTTGGGGTCGGTTTTAGTAGCGATTCACCTTCTGGGTTGTTTTAAACTCCAGGGTAAATGTGTCTTAGGGCGGGTTTCTCAATAGCAGGTCACCTCCGGGTTAAGCATAACTCCAAGGTGAACAGAGCAACTGGACAAGCTCACCCTGGAGTTAAAATTAACCCTGAGGAGACTCGCTATTGAGAAATCAGCCCTTACATATCCAGTTGCAATGGAGTTATGCTTAACCCGGTGGTGACTTGCTATTGAGAAACCGGCCCTTAGGCCGAATTTATAGTTGCCTCTTTAGGTTTCCTCAGACCTCAAGGAGACCTTGAACGTTTAGAATTGACATGACTAACTTGTCACATAGTAACAAGTGTCCATTCTAAACGCACGTTCCTTGAAGGTGCCTGAAGAATAATTTAAGCCATCCTAGCAACTTGAATCTTGAATTTGTAAATCTCTTGAGGACTACAAAAAAGATTATTAGACTTACCCCTCCACGGGGCACTATTTTGATAAAATCTTTCAATCATTTGTAGGTAATTTGATGCTTTTTCAAAAGAAACCGGATTCGAGATAATCGGTTCGAAATCATCAAAGTTATAAGTAAAAAAGTGGCGCCGTGTAGAGGTCCCAAAAATTTTCCAAGAGAAAAATCTTTTCTATTTTTTTGCGGGCTTAGGAAGCGTCGGGGCAAAAAACGCCTAGAGACATTTTCGACGTATTTTTTGCTCCTCTATCCGATGAGAATTTTAATTTTCCAAAATTCGGAAAATTAAATGCAGCCTGCGGCAAGCTGCCTCCGGCGGTAAGTAGGCGTGTATTGGATTTTTGTTTACCCCCCCCCCCAGACCTACACTCTGGATGCGCCATTGCTCAAAATGATAAATGAATTCACAAGGATAACAAAAAATATTCAGACACTGATAGACCTTGTTATATCGAATTATGTTTATTTTAAAAACAGAATAGTATATTGTGTATTTAGGTGGAAAAGTGACACATTCTCGGCCGACGGTGTAAGTTGACGGGCGAGGCGTAGCCGAGGCCGGCAAACACCGAAGGCTGAGAATGTGCTTTTCCACCGAAATACACATACTATTTTTTCTGCGATCGGTTAAATATCTGTTAAATGGTTGTCTTTTTATTCCAATTAATTCAGCAGCACTAGAATCACTTTCCCGGTCTAAGCCGGAAAAGTGATTCCCGTATTGTTATTCATTGATTCCCTAGCAACTATTGAAACATAATTAAAATACCAGAATCTTGAGTTTTGCAGAAAAACAGCTTATCAACTAAACAGTGATCATAATTGGATTATTGTACAAATTTGGGAAAATTTAGAAAATCTAAAGATTCTAGAAAAATTATATGTAATATTTTTCAATTATCAAAAAAATCTAGATTATTTATCAAGTCAAAATTTATTGAATCTTTCAAACTAATATTTGAAAATATTTTTTCCTACGAGCGTGCGCAAAGTAGTACTTTTCCGCATGCATTTCCGGGCTCAAAGTTACACTTTTCCGCACTCAGTGCGGATACAGGCCTTATCCGCACTGAGTGCCGAAAAGTAATTATAATTGTCAAGCAACAATAAGTGCACCTGTCGACTTTGACACATGATGACAAATTTTTCCTCTGTTTCTATATTAGCCAACATCTATACAAACATCAAAAATAAATTAGCTTTGACACATTGTCAGATTTGTTCTCTATTTATATGCAAAAATCTACAAACTTTCTCATCAAACGCTTTAAGATGAACAGCTCTGACGAGGATTTTCTGTTATTTTTTTTTGTTATGTAATTTTTTGATAAATGCATAGGTTCCCTTCAAGTTAATTAAAAATAATTAAACAAATTATCGTTTTTTTTTTAATTTTTTTTTTATTACCTACCTGATATGAAGCTCGTAGGAAAAATTTTGTTCCTAACACGTGCGCAAAGTGTCTTTTCCGCACGCAAACACGTATCCGAACTCCGCTTCGCGTCGTTCGTATAACTGTGTTTGCGTGCGGAAAAGTAACACTTTGCGCACTTGTTAGGAAAATAACTATATCACAAGTAGAAATGTGTGGTAATGAACATTCTCTTTATTGTGAAACTATGTATTTTATATTCTGAGAATGATAAAATCTGAGGTGCTTGATAAATTAGCATCTCTACCAAATGGGTTGATGATACGGCCTGATGGAATACCATTTGTAGTTTTGAAACAATGCAGATACTATTTATTATCTCACTCTTCATGTAAATTCTTCAACCTGTCCCTAAACACATCAATTTTTCCAGAAATCTGGGAAAAATCTATATTCCACTAATTTTTAAATCAGGTCAAAAGGATGATATCAAAAATTAACGCAGTGTTTCTATACAGACTTCTATTCCAAGGGTTTTTGATAGCATGATGTATGTACACATACTTAAACTGGAAGTGTGAAGAAATCCTTATTGATGAGCAACATGGATTTAGGGGGGGTCCGAGGGGTGTTCACACACCAATGACATTGTCCACACTGACCAATTTACTCATTTACCACAGTAAACTGACAGACGCCTTGAAGAGGGGATACCAGGTGGATACTGTGTATACTGACATCTCCAAGGCAGTTAACAGAGTCAATCATGATTTGCTTATTAACCCGGCGTCGGACAGCTGACCAAAAGTTTCAAGATAGGTCAGGTGGGTCCAATAGACCCCATGTTTATCTGCATGTTTTTGGGGCCAAATTTCACTTGTAAGGTATTTTTTGTTTAAAATTGAATCAAAACTACAATATATCAGGGTTTGAATGGTTTTTATTAAAAAACAAAATATGTTTTTATTGTGAAATTAATGCTAACAAAGTAATTTGAAAGCGGAATTAAACAGCACTGCACCTATACTCTGTCAAAGGACTGTCGGCGTCGAGCAGTTAGACAGGCTAGATACTAGCTATTATCTGTAGCTGTTTGTCATGCCACTACCCACTACACCTCATATCACCTTATGTAGCGGGACATTCCCCTTATTGTTGGCTGACTGCATGGCTTTCCATAGCTTATATCAAGTGAATAATATTTCTAATATTTATGGGAACTTTCTGGATTTGATATTTTGTAGTAATAAGGATGTATGTACCTCAATATCAGCCGATCCACTTTTGAATTTGGACACACCTCATCCTGCTTTGGTTTTTGATGTATTAATTTCAAATAATAATTCTGATAAGTTGGAGTATGATTATTGTTTTCTGGATTATAAGAATTGTAATTTTAGGGATTTAAATGTTTATCTGTCTTGTGTGGATTGGGACTCTTTTGTTGATATGGATGATATAAACTCTGCTGTCGATACTTTTTATAATCAAATTTATCATGCTATTGAGATCTTTACACCCATTTCAAAAAGAAAAACAGCAAAATTTCCAGGATGGATGGATAGTCATTTGAAATGTTTGATTTTGTCTAAAAAAAAGGCACATCAAAACTATAAAAATACTATGTCCGCTCAGGATTATGGAGTTTTTTTCAGAAATTAGGAAAGAATGTAAAATTTATTCTCATATCAGCCATAGGAATTTCATTGAGAAAATCGAGTCCGAGACACAGGACAGAAATGGATTTTGGAGATATGTACGATCGAAAAATGAAAATCGTGGATATCCCAGTTCTATGTTTCTTGATGAGCATGAAGGTAGCACACCTCATGAAATTGTCAATCTCTTTAAGGATAGTTTTTCCTCGGTTTATACTGAGGTGAGTGTTGAGAGTGATCGAAACATTCCTGTCTCTAATTTATCTAGTTTGTCTAATTGCAGTATCAGTTCGGTTCAAATTACCCCTCTTGATATATTTAACAAGATACATTCATTGAAGAATGGATTGGGTTGTGGTCCTGATGACATCCCAGTATTATTTGTTAAGAATTGTAGTTGTATTCTTTCAGAGATATTATGTAAAATATTCAATAAGGCTTTAGAGTTGGGACGGTTTCCTGATATGTGGAAATTAAGCTATATAACTCCTGTGTTTAAAAGTGGAGAAAGAAATAATATTAAAAACTATAGGGCCATATCCAGAATGTCTATTTTTTCTAAGGTATTTGAGTCTATAGTAACGGATTTTCTTACACCAATTTTGAAACATGTTATTGTACCGGAACAGCATGGCTTTATTAAGGGTAGATCTACATTGACTAATCTTCTGGTCTATGAGGAGGCTCTGTTGGAGGGCTTGGAGAATAAGTGTCAGATTGACTCGGTCTACACTGACTTCTCCAAGGCCTTTGACAGGGTTGACCATAAGATACTATTGGAGAAGGTGGCCGATGTGGGGCTGCATGGAGGTCTATTGAGCTTGATTGGAAGTCTTCTCACAGGTAGAAAACAGGCTGTAAAAATTGAGAATTACATCTCTTCAGTATTTTCGGTGACCTCGGGGGTGCCTCAGGGAGGACACCTGTCTCCTTTGCTGTTTAGTATATTTATTAATGATCTGTCAGGTGTCTTCGGAAATTCCGATTTTTTGCTCTTGGCTGATGACTTGAAGTGTTTTATGGTTGTTCGGGATGTCAGGGATGCTCAATTATTGCAAGTGGACTTGGATATGTTTCGGACTTGGTGTCAAAGAAACAAACTCCCCTTAAATGTTGAGAAGTGTAAGGTTATTACTTTTTCTCGGAAAAAAACACCTTACTTACATAATTACG